GTACAGGGCCCTGCATGCTGCCATCACTCTTTCACCACATACAGTTAGGCATTTGGTACGTGGAGTGGAAGGGGCTGAAGCACCAGCCCCATCTCAGCGGCTGAGTGGAGGCCTCTAATCCACTTCACATTTGAAGCTGAAGTGTAGATTTGAGTGTTTCTTGTAGTGAATCTCCCCAACTATACTTAGAACATTCTGGAAGTCTCTGATATGCCTCTAAATGTGCTGGTTCTATACAACATTTTTTCCTATGGTGAATATTCTGTGATGGAATTTTGTTAGTATAGATATACAGCTACTTTCTATTAATTCAATGAAAAGAAAAATATGTACTAATAGTGTTTGGACAGGATATCATGTCTGCATCTTGTACTACAAATAATGGCCATGAGGATAATGGTAGGCAATGTATTAATTATTGAATCTGTTCTACTAATCAGTTTTGAAATTGTCTCATTGCTATTTGTTTCTCAATAAAATTAATAAAAAAGAAAAAGAAAAACATCACAAAAATATTAAACCTCTCTGCCATCATGAAAGGAGAATTAATTTTTCTTGCTTCATAAAAAAAAAGGAATTTTGGTATTTTAGCATCCTAAAAATACATGAACGTAATGATTGGTCATTATTCTCTTCCTTGATGATGTATTTGAGAATAGTGTATAAAATTAAATATTCTCAATTTCTGTCAAAAGAAGTGAGAAATTTGTTTATGGCTTTCAGTTTTATTTAGACATAATCAACAAATAGAGTTATACTAGGGTGTATATTGGAATGGCATTTTGATATATATTGTGAAATGCCAACAAATTAAATTATCCAAATGCAATCGCTGTTTTCTTTGTCCTTGTTGCAGTGTAACCATGTATAACGTAGCTTTTTAGCAAATTCAAGTATACAATGTTGTGCTGTGTTAGCTATGGTACCAAGCTATTTCTTAGCTCTCCAGAAATGACATATGTTGCATAACTAAAGTTTCATTTCTTTTGTATATGGTCTGTACATTTCCAACAGCCTCCAGATCTTAAAAACTACTACTGCATTTTCTAGTACTATAGATTGACTTTGTATTTTGTTTTGTTTTGCTTTGCTTTGTTTTACTATTTCATATCCAACTACTAAAAATGATAGTGAGTGTTTGCCTTTTTGCATCTGGCTTGTTTCACTAAGTATATCACCCTTAAGGTTTTCCCTTGTTAACATAAAATGTAAGAGTCTCTTCCTTTCTCTGCTTAGATAAAAGTATTCTCATTATGTCCACTTGCTCATCCACTGAGTGATCCTGTATGCTCAGGCTTTTTTCAAATGGTGCCTGTTATGAACTGTGATGCAGTAAACACACAGTGCACTGATCTCACTTCCTTGGGATATATACCTAGAATAAATTGCTGGGTCATACAATGATACTACTTTTTAATATTTTAAATAAAATAAAATATATTTTCTGTAACATCTACATAAATTTTTCTTTCAATCAATAGACAAAATGGCACCTGTCCATTCTCAACCTTCATCAACACTTGTTATGTTCTACTTTTCATAATAGTATAATTCATGATCATTTTATCTTTCCTGTTTGCTTGGTTTTCTATTTTCCTGAGGATGAGTAACAATGAACAACTTTTTACAAATCTCCTGATATTATATATTTTCTTCCTTTGAAGAAATATGTATTAGAGTTGTTTGCTCATGTTCAATTAGATTTTTTGCTCAGTTTTTCTCTTGAGTTGTAAGAATTCCTTAAATATTTCACTATTAACTTCTTACCAAATACATAGTTTGCAAAACATTTTCTTCTGTAATGTACTGGCCTTTCCAAATGATTGATTCCTCTTCCACCAGGAACCATTTTAGTAGAATGCTGTCTGACATGTCCAAATTTTTCTTTGTCCCCTGTCCTTTTTGTTGTCATATCAGAACAAAAAAATAAGAAAACTTTGTCTCCCTTATATAAAGAGAAATTTTTCCTTTTACTTCTCTTCATAACTGTATTGTTCAAATATATTTCCTTCTTACCACAAATTTTGTACTTGTTACCCCAAATCTCCAAAATATACATGTTTCTCATATAAGATCTATGTATCAGTAAATATGCCAAAATGAAGACATTAATGTCCATCACTGTATATACTATGTAAAACCTCCCCCAGGACTAGTGATTCTGCATGTTCTCTTATGTTTTCTAATATGTGGAAAGCAGAACTTCATAAAGATTATAATCTTCTTTTCATATAACATTACTATAAAATTATAATAATGGTTGGAGCTATTACTTGCAGTCTGTCATCTTTGCATAGAATTTGCAAATAAAAAACTGATAATGTTAATGTCTGAATGAAATTCTGGAGTAGACTCCTAAACTCCTTTGATTTCTAGGGTGACCCTAAGAATGACTCCTGGATCTTTGCCCTGGCAGTGCTTCTGAGCAGCACAGTTATCTACAACAGCATGGGCACCATCGACCAGCAGGCCCTGGAGCAGCTGCAGTATCCTTCCAGAATCTGAGCTATGAGATGACATGGGGAGCTTTTGGGAAATAGGATTGAAATATTTTTTGTTCCCTGTGACTTAGATGATTTTGGTGGATCATGAGTGACCTTGGGCAAAAAAGATTGTTTATGATAATTCTCAGTGAAGGAAACCTGGGCATTATTAGTAGGAGTATTCTTTTCCTTAACCAACTCCAGTTATGTGACAGAGCTCACAAAACACATCAGGTCAAAGTCTTCCTCAAATTCTGATGGAGTACAAGATTCGATAGAGTTTGTGAGTTTCTTCCCCAGCTTCTGCTGGATTGTACGAGATTTCATGCTGGAGCTGAAGTTGCAAGGTCAGCCCATCACAACAGATCAGTACCTGGAGAATGCCTTGAAGCTGATTCCAGGTACCGGAGCAGAGCCTGGGTGGGGGCATTTCTTTCATCTAAGGTTCCATTTGTGCTTTAAACTGGCTGGAAGCCTTTGGAAGTGGGCATGGGTACAGGTTGAAAGCTCTAAAAAACGGAAGTTTTCATTTCCTTTAAAATGGTAGATTATGAAATACTGTGAAATTATTCAAAACCTAGTGGTTATTTGTTACGAATTTTTATTTTTGCCCCCAGATTCCAAGGGATACTACAAGTTTCTGAAATCAGTCACTTGTGTATCCTACTTTGCTGTCTGTTTCCTCTGGTTAGAACAATTACTCTCAGAGTTGTAAAACTTGAAACTGCTGTGCAGAGCATGCTCTCAGTGTGTGTGTACTGGTTACATAGTTAGGAACCATGCTTTTCAACAAGGAATAAGATTTCCTAGCCGTGATATATAACTTTCTAAAAGTGAACACACAAAAATAATTCTATGTTCTGTATAAATCAGAGAAAGCATTTGCATTTCCTTTTATGCCTATTACGTTTCTGTCACCATTACCATCCACTGATTAACTTTACATTGATAGCACACATTTCTATTCATGCCATTATATTTATTCATGCTGTCCTTTCAAAATAAGTAACAGTGTCTGACAAATTACTTGTCCATTATTTACATCAGTGTTTATCCAAAGTTATTTTGTGAAAAATATCACTTCTGAGGGCCCACAAGATAGCTCAGAGGATTAATTGACTCCTTAGGTAAGCGCAGGCACCAGAGTTAGACCACTGACACATGCTATACTGGTCCTAACCAGGGATGCAACCAGGCATGGTGGCTTACACCTGTAATGCCAGCACTGGGGGAGGCTGAAAACAGGAAGATCACTATGAGTCAGCTACATAGTGAGACACTGTAACAAACAAACATATTTAAAAAATGTGGTTCATTTATTCTTGGTTTCATTTTCTACAGCTGCTTTCTCAAAATCTTCTCTGAAAAACTGATAAGAAAAGAAATTGTTAAATCAAGCACAATCCTTTCTCACAAAGACAATGGAGTAGTTGTGATTATTTTTGTTTTATTGAGAAACAAATATCAATGAGACAGTTTCAAAGCTGATTAATAGGACATTTTCAATAATTAATACAATGTATATTGTTATTGCCTTAGTGGTTATCCATAGTCCAAGAAGCAGACAGGATATCCTGTCCAAACACTATTACTACAAATCTTTCTTCTCGTTGAATTAAGTGAAAGTAGCTGTATATCTATCCCAACTATTCTGTATATACAAATACAAAATAGTCCTTCCTCTTTACCCCTGTTTTTAGTTTAGTCCTCTTAGAGATGGGTATTCTATTGGCATCTAAATATTACAGGTACTTGAATTCATCAAAACAATCCAAAACAGTCCAGTAGCCCACAATAGTACTGGGATATCGAAGAAGTTGTTGACTAGAGCCTTTTACAGCTCAGCGTATTAATGTGACTTTACTTTATATATCTCATTCTGGCATTTGTCTGGAATGCCAGGATGACAGGCATTCCAAGTGTGAACCTTCTATAACAAATTGCTTTCTTTAGTGAGTTGCTTGGTTCACAAGTATCAGCATATATAGTTAGTTGGATTGAGAATCCTACCAATTAAGAGCTAATTACAAAACCCTGCTGATGTTTCTCAGGATCATTGCCTTGCCCATCTTGTGTGTACAAATGTATGGCTGTGTCCCTGTCCTGTTTCCAAGGTTTTCTCCTTACTCTCTCCTTGTTGTCCAATCAAGTTCTCACTTTCCTTTTAGTTGTGTTATATCTTTCTATTTGTATTTCTTCTTTTGAGTTCTTAACTAGAAAGACTATACGATATTTACACATGTGGGTCTGGTTTATTTCACTTATGAGTACATCTTTCAAGTAGCATGCCTTTCAATATAAATGCTTCAAGTTTATCATTCTCTCTATCTATCTGAGTAATACTCCACTGTATAAAAATGCCACATCTTTTTCAACCATTCCTCATGTGACGGGCATCTTGGTTTTTCCAAGATTTAACTCTCACAAATTGGGCTGTTATAAACATAGGTACACATATATCACTATGATATGATGTTTTCAGTTCCTCTTGGAAAATTCTG